CCACTCGGGACAACAGCCCAGGGACCACTTCCCAGCGCAGCTGCAGCTCCAGCTGATGCTGGGCCCAACTGAGCCAGCCGGCAAGGCCAGGCAGCTCCTGGCTCTGCAGCCCCATGGACGGCTCCCTCCCTTCCATTCCCTTCTCCTGACCCCACTTCATCTCTTCCCCTTCCCCTGACATTAATAAACCTTGGCTTTATCTCCTTATCTGCATCTTGGTGCAACTGAAAGGACACAAACCCTCAGCCCTGCAGCTCATGGGCACACACCCAGAGGGACACGAGCACTTCAGGCTGCACAGGGGCCTGTCCTGAAGGGCCACTTGCAAAGCATTGTGCTCTTCAAGTTCTTACTTTAGTTTGTGCTGGTGTTTCCCAACAAAACCCAAGATTTGTGTCATCCCTGGGGAGGCAAGGGGCTTCCTTTCTAAGGAAAGTGCTTCCCAAAGAGTTGTCAGGAAGGGAGGCACAAATGTTTCCCTCTGGCTCTCCGTGGTCCTTTCACTCCTTGTGTCCCCTTGCACTTTGCAGAGGGGCAGGGCAAGGGGCACTCATCAGCCTGGGGGGCAAAGCCACGCTGGGGCAGCTCAGGACACTGCAAGCACAGCTGGCACTGCGTGTCCCCTGAGAACAGAGCTCCTCTCCCAGCCTCTGCCCCCTTGATAGCCAGTGCAAATCCAAGAGATGTGCTGGAATCTGGGATGAGGCTGCCTACAGGGGTGGCTGTGGGAGCATCTTGCAGCTGAGGGATTTTTCTCTGGGGAACATCCAAGCACATCTCAGCCTGTTGTCCACTGGGCTTTTCCTCACTGGGTTTTTCAGGGATGCTCCCACGCTCCCCCTTCTCTTTCCACTTCCCAGAGAGTTTCCCTTTCATTTTCACTTCCAGATCCTGCTCCCCAGCACCCAGGAGCCCCACTGGCTCTAGTCAGCCAAGGCTGCAAGAGGGATGTGCTGCGGCCCTTCCCTCTGCCCAGGAGTGCTCCCATTCCCGCCAGCAGCAGACAGCCTGCAGCATGGAATCATGGAATCATTAACACCGGGAAAGACCTCGGAGACCATCAGTTCCAACCACTCCCCCAGCACTGCCAAGCCCACCACTCAACTGTGCCCTCATATGCCACATCCACACGTTTTCCGAACATTTCCAGGGATGATGAGTCCACCACTTCCCTGACACAATCACCACCTGCCGAAATCACCATCTGCTGCATTTCCACCACTTCCCTGGTGGAATCAGCATCACCCACTGCTGCTGCCCCACTGCCCCATTTACTCCGTCCTTAGGGACCGGCCCCACAAAGTCCCTGGAAAGCAGCTGGCCTTGGACACACATCACGGAGCTACCTCTGAGACGGCTTAAGGGATGTCACCTACCTGGTGTCCTGAGCATCCAGGTGACAATCTCATCCCTCCACCGCGGCTGCCAGGAGAGCAGCCCGGGTCGAGCTCTCCCCGCGGTCAGAGGCTTGGCTGCACAGCTGGAAAACCTGGGGATGCCAAACCCATCGCTGGTGGGTCCGTGCCAGCCCGGCGCTGGGATCCCCGAGCCGGCGATACCTCTCGGCATCCCGGGGGTGTCCGCCCTGAGCCGGGACCTCTGAGCGGCGGGGTCCCTGCCGGGATCCCGCAGGGATGGAACAGGGATGGACACCCCTCACAGTACCACAGTGGGGGATGGTCCCGCACCGCCCTCAGCCCGCGGGGGTGCCCCAGATCCCCCCAGACAGCGCCGGGGGCACCTCGGCGATGCCCGCACCGCGCCCCTCACCCCTCTGTCCCCTCACCGCTCCTCGCTCCCCTCACGGCTCCTCTCACCCCTGTCCCCCCCCCCCACCCCTCACCGCCCCCCTCTCACCCCCCACTCCCTCCCTCTCTCCCCTCATCGCCCCCCTCACCCCTCTCACCCCTCTCTCCTCCCGCCGCCCCTCCGGGAGGGCGGGATCGATGGCGGGCGGGCGTCACCAACCCAAGAAGCAAAGCGGCGGCCCCGCGGGGGCGGCCCGCGGGTGATTGACGGGCGGCGCCGGCCAACCGGCGCTGGGGGCGGGCGGGG